ACCGGGAGAAGCCCTTTACATGGCCAAATTCCCTGGAATTTGTATGAAAGGAAATAATGCTAAATTTATTGGGACGACATTTAATATTTGGCCCGCCCAGTGTGACTTCACTCTCCCTTAACCCTTTGATTTAAGAATTGTTCTTTTCTTTACCCATTTTCGAAATGCCGAAAGTTGAGACACTCTTGCCAAACCTTTCAGCGAATCAATTCATTCCCTAAATTTATTTAGTTTCTTAAATTTATTTTGACGAATTTAGTATAAGTATATATTTTTTACTTCATTTATTTTTATCTACAACTGTACAACCAGCACATTGGATTTCAATTTATAATTGTGACATTAAGGGCGTTATAAAGAAAGCTATCCATTGGATGTTAATTGCCTTAGAAAGGACAAATTGTAAGATTTTCTTTTCTAGTGTGAGGCAATGAAGAGACCCACGCTACATTTTGTACTGTTTTTATAAATAGATCAACCGCGTTTTCTAGTTCTCCTGGTCTTTTTAAGATAATTAGGATGGAATTTCTTTTCATCAAGCAAGGAACGAACGTTTTTCCAATTCATTGGTCCAGAAGTTGGAGTATATTTCAAAATGTGTAGAGATTGGTGACCGTTAATCGATATTTATTCAGATATCGTGAGATGCGGTCGGGTGTAATGTAGGTTTCAGAAAAACATTTTCTTTATCGTGCCAACGTTTCGATCTTTTATTGAGATCATCTTCAGGGCTCAAAGTGTTTGTCTTCTGTGTAATTGTACCATTTTTGCGTGTCGTGTTGAGAGTGCCCTGAAGATGATCTCAATAAAAGATCGAAACGTTGGCACGATAAAGAAAATGTTTTTCTGAAACCTACATCACACCCGACCGCATCTCACGATATCTGAATAAATATTTAAAAATTTTAAAACGGCATTTTTTATGTAAAACATCTACTAAAATAACGTGAGGTTAGGGATGTAATGAGCTCAAGGTGATATACAGACTTGTACTTTGTGAACGTACAAGGGACTTAATGAAAATAAACTGTGAATGAAAGAACCCGAAAAGAAAATATCCCAAATCCAATAGAGAATTTAACTTTGTACCTCTCAAAAAATAGACGTAGAAAAAATGGACACCTTGCATTACTTACGTCTTTCCACAGAATTCATAGAAACAAGAAAATGTTTATATAGTAAAACCGAAAAGGTTAGTTAACTAAATTAACAAAGTTTGTTAAGTTAACCTATCGGTGAATCTGAAAGTTTTCCAACGTTGAGAAGAGTCAGGCAAGGTTGCTTATTGAGCCCTGTTCTCTTCATCTTATTTAATATGACCCTCAAATATAGTATTGGTAGCTAAAGAAACTAACTTTCTTTTGCATGCAGATGAAATAGATCTCTTCAACTGCTGAACGTTCATTGTCATCGGGTTGTAAAGTAGGTCGGTAAAGTTTTTTTTATGTTAAACTGATTGAAAATTTAAGCTTCCTCTAAAAAATTTAAGTGACAAAAATATTACAATAAACTATAAATAACACATTAATCAATCTCTTTTCCTATTCTGTCTCTCTCTCTCTCTCTCTCATTCTCTCTCTATCTATCTATTTATCTATCTATCTATCCATCTATCTCTGACTCTCTCTTTTTGCCCATAAAATTAGTTAATTTGATATACTTCCCATCAACATTCTCTCTCTGTTTCTATTTATCTTTATCTTCTCACTCTCTATATCAGTCTCTGTTCCTCCTCTTCCTCCCTCCATATCTCTTTCTCTTTGTCTTTCTCTTTCCTTTCCATGAGCTTAATTCAGTTTCTTTTTTGTTATCTAGAGCTCTTCGTTTGGCTTAAGACTTTTTATCAGGGCCCAAAGCTTTGTCAAGGATTCCCGGTTTTATCCTTCAAATTTGGACTTTTCCTCTTACAGCAGTACGAATCGCAGCTTGCTTAGGGTTTCGCACCATCAGAACGCGTGTTTCTTCAAAAGCCGTTGGAAATATATTTAAACAAAAACGCATTCTTAATACGTTTTCTGATAAATCCACATTCTTGGCAATTGGGTATGCCTCAAACGGGTCTGGGCCGATAGGTGTTCTTGGCCTATTTATCGGTCTCGTCCTTACCCCGTTGCCTTCTCTGTCTCCGTACCCAAACGACGGTAATTGTCTTGTTGTCCTCAATGTCTGACGTTGATCCAATCCTACCAATTTACTACAGATGACCCAGCTGCCCGAATAAATGGCTATTACCTTGTTGGTAATATATATTCTTGTGGCGGTATTAAACAGCCACAGGCACAGCCTGAAAGAATGGTATTCCAAAGTACTTTCAATTCTAATCCTTTTTTTAATTTTACTTTTTTTATTATGTTTATTCTACATGCTTCATACAAAATATTACATGTAATACAATAACCATAAATATAAAATATATGAAATGCATATATATACATACATTGGGATATCAGATTGATATTATGGCGAAAAGACAATTACTGAAACTGTTAAATAATAATAAATAACGTTAATAAGGAGAAACCAATTAAAAACTAAATAAACAAATAACATAACATTTCACTAAATTACATTAAAATCTATTGCTTTAATGAATGTGTCAAAATGTTCATAATATTCTCTCTTCATGAGCTCCTTTTCATCAGGTGGCCACTTCTTGTCTTGCTGTAGGCACTTTCGTATTCAAACACTACGCAGTGGTTCTATTAGTGGGCACTCATGTATTAGGTGTTTCATGCTTTGTTCTACTGGGAAATTAGGCAGGCATGAGCATGATGAAGATTCTTTTAGATGAAAGCGGAAAAAATAGCTGTTGTTTGGGCCGTGTTCGGTTAAGATGTGGGTTAGTGGTGCGGACTCTCATCCTCGTTTTTTTCCAGAGATACCAGCTCCTAATTCATACTCGGTTTTAGAACCTTCTAGATCAGGGGTGCTCAAACTTGAACTGCTGGCGATCTACCTCAATATTTTTAGACTACTTACGATCGACTCTGAGAGGCTGCAAGTGTGTGTGATGCAGGGTTGTCGTACATACACGATACACCCTACCTACCTAGGTAGGGTGTACCGTAGCATATATAGATATTAGCTTTCTGCACAATATAGGTACATTATTTTAGTCAAGGTTTGGGTTAGGTTTAGTTAGGTTCTTCTCTACAATATCAATGAAAAAACTCATAGTTATTCAAAATTGCGAGTTTATTGGTTGTTACAAAACAAAAGAGTTACATATGGTGTTAAACTTAACTAAGGAGTGGCTTTGGATGTTGAAGCGTCCTGACTCATGACTTCAATACGCCTTGTGACAGTCGGACGAGATAACTGAAGTTCTCTAATAGCAGACATGATTTCTGTTTTATTTTTAAAATCTCCAAATAAAGTCTCACCCGCTTCAATAAATGCTTCCTTCACCACCGATCCATCTTCGAATGGCTTCTTGTGTTTCGCCAATATATGAGATATTTTAAATGACGCGATCGTAGCAGCTTTTGATTGTTTGGCTGGTCTTGTGAACATGGATTGTTCTTTTTTCAAACAAGATATCAAATCACTTACTTTTCGTTTTCTTAATTCACTCTGTGGCGGAAAATCCTTTTCATAGTTTTTATGAACCGTTTTATGATGCCTCTCTAAGTTACCACGCTTAGGTATTGCAACTGACGCACGACAAATAACACAAATGCACTTATCCTTCACCATACAAAAGAAAAATTCTTCCTCCCAATCCTTATTAAAATGATACGTTCTAGATTTCACTGCACTCATTTTCCACTATTTAATAATAAACTTTGTATCGACGTAGTATCGCCATCAAGTTACAATTCAGAATGACTCCAATTCCTGCAGGCACAACATTTATATCGGCGTGAACGAAAGTCTCGAATGTTCCCGTCAAACGCGCCGCCCGAAACTAGACTGTACTGTCTCTCGTTGTTTCTAGACTAGACTGTACTGTCTACTAGTCTAGAAACAACGCGGCTTTTCTTTGACAAGTGCCGCGCGTTCCTTTGATAAAGCCACCTTTTGCCGCAAGCAGTGTTATTTTATTACGTAATACATTTTTGTAGTTTAGTTACCTACCTACTTATTAAAAATTTTTTTCTTCTCGAGATCTACTCAAAAAGCACTCGCGATCGACTGGTCGATCGCGATCGACCGTTTGAGCACCCCTGTTCTAGATACCAGACTTTATCGACATTCGAAGTAAGTTTGTCAATCTGCCGACTTCCTAAAGGTAAATTCTGGAAGTTTTCAGGGCATGAAAGCTATACTATTGTATGGGGTATAAGCAGGGTGAAATGACTGTGTACGAAGTAATTCGAAATGCTTTTTATAATTAATATTACAGTATAAAATTGTTGCTATGGTACTGTTCCTTTTACACAAATCGACAATTATCCATGAATATTTTTCTCCTACCAGGATAGAATAATAAATGAAAAAGAGACCTTTAAACAATTCCCGGATTGTAATGGAGCAACAACGGCTTTTAATTTACCTAATGGTTCGTTGAGTAGTGAAACATCCTACTTTTTCTATTGCGTTTTTCCTAGGCTACCAGTTTTATTAAATAAATAATTAAATTTCTCCAACTGGCCCGTATTTGGTTTGTCAAATTTGATCAATTAGGTAATTGGTCAGGCGATCGGCTATTTCTATAGCCAATCCGTCGTTCTGTTTTCTCTAATTGTTTATTTTTTGTAATAAGTAATCAATATTTTTAATCGATAGAATATTTTTAAAAATGAACCTCAAGGAATTGAATAAAGGACAATTTTAGGCAGAATTTCACTGTGAGTAGTTTGAGAATTTTTTCATCCTAAACAGAAACAAGAGGGACAATGAGATAAGTAAGATTATGGGAAATAAAAAAGTAATAATCGTGGAGGATTTAAACAGTAACTTACTTTCTGTAATATTTTTTTTTATTATTCTTTATTTTAAGTAGCCCAGTTCTTCCTGAATTTAGTCTCAGATGTGACTAATATCAGCTGAAACATTTTTTACGAAAATAGATCAATTTTTTGAAATATAATGACGGTTTAATTATCTTTGATTTTCTTATTAAAATGCAGAGGATTTTGCCCGGGAAGTACGGATCTAAAATTAATGTTGCTATTGGTAAGAGACAAAGAGTATTTTTATTATTTTGTTTTTATTATTTTTAATTTCAGTTGCTTTAAATTCGTTCGTCGCTGGATTGTGTGCGGCATGGCCTTCGGCCATTTTCCCCATCATAATCAACAAGAGCCACCTGGTCCATCTGAATTTGGACGAGATCTCGCTGAGCGTGATATTCCTTTACGTGGGCCAGTTGGTTTCGCTTCTTCCTTTCTCGACCGTCGAGAGCGCAATAGGAAAAGCCAAGACGCTCGAATTCGGCATCATCTTTGCCATCCTCGGCTGGGTGGTGATCATACTGTTCGTGAATAACCTCGGGATCTACTTCGCCATGTTGTTGTTCGGTTGTTGGCTGACTATATGTTTTCTCTCGAACGGGCCTTACCTGGCGGAAGTGTCGCCGCCGAGGTTGAGAGGGAGGACTCTGGCACTCATGTCCATCTTCTACATGCTAGGGGCCATCACTGAAATCACGATGTCGATTTTCTTGTCCTACAAAGGCCTGGCGTTGGCTAACTTCGCTCTGACGATCTTTCAGTTCTCACTTCTGTTTTCGCTGCCTGAGACGCCTTATTACTATCTGAGGAAGTACAACATAAGGACGGCTTTCCAAAGATTTGAGTGGTTCAGAGGCAGTGGTCCATCGAATAAAAAAGAATTTGACGACGCCGTGACGTTCACGGAGAAACAGATGAATGCTTCGTCCAAGTTGACCGACGTCTGCCGAGACTTCTCGACCAGAAAGGCCTTATTCTTTTCGCTCACAATGGCATGTTTCCAAAAGACATCCGCGAACACGCCGCTACAGACGTACTGCGGCATTCTGCTCCCAAACAGCTTCATCAAGTCCGCAATGTTTCCTCTCCTCTTCTTCTCTGTTTCGGCAGTCTTCAACATCCTGTCCGCGCTGTTCATCGACAGGTTCGGGAGAAGGAAACTTCTGCTCATATCGGCGTCAGGGTCTTGTACACTCTCGATTTGCTCAGCTGTCTGGTTTTTTGTACAGGAAAGGACGCACACGGTCTTGAATGAACATTACAACTTCATCCCCTACATGACTCTAATCTTGGAAACGGCGTTTTACTCGTTAGGAGTACAGTACATACCCGGTGTGATCAACGGCGAGTTATTCGCTGTCCATATAAAGTCAAAAGCACTCAGCATAATATCGCTCGTGCAGATCACTGTCAATATAATCAATTCGAAGATATTCATCGTCCTCGTACAGAACAAGCTGACGTTTTTAAGTTTCACCGTCTACTCGATCGTGTCCGCCGTGTCCTTCTTCTACCATGTGTCAATCTTCGACACTAAAGGGAAAACGTTAGAGGAAATTTACAATCATTTTGAAAGGAAGGGCCGAAGAAGGTCGACGTTGGTGGCGAACCTCCTGCCCCAGAAGGACGGCGGGTCCATCCTACCCAGCGAAGAACGATTCGAGGACGAAAAACAGGAGACGTCGACCCCGAAGGACGGCGGTGTGTATCGACTCTCATGGACCTTCGGCAACGTTTCTTCTGACATCCACGTGCCTTACCGAAAAAGATCGTCGAGTGTGCCGAACTCTCCTTCGGTTCAAACAGAAAAAAGCAGATCGCCGAGTCCTGTCCGATTGAAGCCATTAACAACCCAGAAGAACGAACCTAACACCAAGTAAAAGCACACTTTATGAAAAAAATAATAAAATCACATTAGCCACTAAATCATATGATTAATTTTTCAATTCTTATGGAAAAGATAAGTATACGTTTTCAACAAATTCAAATTTTCTATTTTAAATTCACTAATTTCGTGGTCCGCTTGACCAATTAATATATAACAGTTAATGAAGGTTTTTAGTTGAGATAAAAAAGTCAACGGCACGAGCGGGATTTGAACCCACGATCTTCGGCTTGATACGCCGCTGCTCTACCACTTCGAATCCCGCTCGTGCCATTGCCTTTTTTTATCTCATCTAAAAACCTTCATTAACTGTAATATATTATTGGGTTGTCCGGAAAATAATGCAGGATTTTAAGTTTTCATTAAAAAAAATCTATATAAAATATTCTGTTTACGTTTACAGGATTACTCATTTGTATNAAGTTACCAACACGTTGGGAGAAATGTATTGAGAGTATGGGAAATTATTTTGATTAAAGAACATTGCTTTAAAGTAACTAGTTTCTTTTTTTTTGTTTAATACTAAAATCCTGCATTATTTTCCGGACAACCCAATAATTGGTCAAGCGGACCACGAAATTAGTGAATTTAATGATTGAAAATGAAGTATACTTCACTAAAGCGCTCCGTGGCCATTTCATTTGTCGTCGAGAATCCAACCCGATTACACGACATTTGAAAAATGGCAAAAAGGAGGGAAAATTCAAAAGGTGCGGTTGAGATGGGAAGTTGGTGTCCGAGTGGATCGAGGTCACGATAGCTCATGTGGGAGAGCAGAGGCGTATCAAGCCCAAGATCGTGGGTTCGAATCCCGCTCGTGCCATTGACGTTTTTATCTAAACTAAAAACCTTCATTAACTGTTTCTATTTTAATTTCTTAGATTAGAGAAACTAACAAAATTGGAACAGTGCGTTTAAATTTATTAATCTAATTTTTGTTGTCTGTGGGATAAATTGTTAGAAAACACCAAAAATTAATTACAACGTTTACCAACTTGGTACTTAAAAATCGGGCTAACCATCGGATTTTTCAGTCGAACATTTTATTATAACAAAAGTGATTTAAAATGGAAAGGATAATTATTATTTGAACACCTAGAATCGTCATCCAACTTGGGGTTATATCGTTAATATCTCGTACGCTGTATTTCGTGAGACATTTTTACTTTCAATATACTCCCTGAAAAAAGTACTTTTTTATTAACTACAATAAATTAAAAACCAGCAATCCTGCATGTCGTCCGTGTTTAAAAAAAGTAAAGTTTGTTGTCTAGGCGTACTTATAACCAGACGTAGGACCATCTTACAATGGGATTTTCCTGTTTATGGCATATTTTTTTAAATATAAAGTGAAAAATTATAGACATAAGATACTAAAGCCTAGAATACAAGAAAAAAATCTTTTTGAAACACACCCTGCTTATATCCTTGACATTATGCCGCCAGGATGTTGTTTTTCCTTATAAGAACGATTTCAAAGAAACTATTTGCACATCGTTGTTTTAAACATCTCAAATGGCTAGGCATGAAAAGAGACAAAGTCTTGACTCGACCGGCTTTTATCCCTTACGTCTGGCTTTCTTTCAATGGAATGTTAAAAAAGGGACATAACATTTTAAAGTACAACTACAAAAGTGTAAAATTTGCGAGATTCGTATATACGGAAGACAAAGAAAAACCATAATCGAGTCATGATTTTTCGTCTAAACAGATCTTTTAATGAAAAAGACCCCTTTCTTTAAAAATCAAATAGCTTGATGTATGACGTGGATGGTGTGTATTGTTCTCCGAGTCGGTGCAGCTCACTGGGTCCGTTTACACTCACGGGTTTTGATGTTACTAAAAAAAGATTCAAAAAACTATCTAGTGTTGAAGTGGCGACTATAATCCTGCACATGGTATGCGTTTCATTTAACCTGCTAAGTCTTTCTTTCTTCGCCCAACTGGCTCCATCAGATCTATGCTTTCTCGGCCATTTGGCTCTGCTTAGCGGTCTTTTCCACTCCCTCGGAACTTTGTCATGCTTAAGCGTGTCCAGATGGACCTCTTGGCGATATCCGGTCGGGACGTGGAAGTGTAATTATGCATGCAAGTTCATGGTTGTTACGCACACAAGTTAAAACATGCCTAAAAAATTGGAACTTTATCGTCCGTCCTTGGGTGCCATCGTTTATGTTTCATGATTTCGTAGATTAACTTTATTGTGCCTATAAAATTTTTTCCCGTGGCCAACTTGTTTTTCAATGTAAGCGTACTCCTTTGTCAGTTTCTCTTTTCCAATTACGTCTTAGCGTATCAAAATTTGTGCCTTCAATGCCGTCTCCTGAAGTACTCCACATGTACACGATGGGCCTTCCTTTAGACGAAAGGAATTCAGTTTTGCTGTGAAGTCCCCATGGCCAGTCATTACTTGAGTTATAAAATGGTCGACTGATAGGTGTTTCATTTTCAACGTCTTATGCAGGGGAATATTTGGTATATATGGCGTCCACATTCGTTGCATTGATACTCGGTCGTGTATAATTTCTAATGTCCCATACTGCGTTTATTGCGGTATAGGCATTTCTCCTCCAAATGCCTCCGATTTGTCTTGCCGTCTTTGTAGGCTTGCGTGACCAGCAGTAATTCTTTCTTTTGCGCTTTTGTTAGCTCAGCCCAACCTGTTATTGTTATGAGCCTTGACCGTGCAGGTGTCGCGTATGGTATAATTGATTCACATACTGATTGGTACATATTAAAGGAAGCTTTTATAGGTTATTTCCCGTGTTGGTCTACTTCTTGTTCTTGTTTTGAACTACTTGACTACAATTCTTGCACTCGCTTCTTTAGTGTGGGTTTCAAATTTTGCTCCTTGCCCAAAAGTAACACCTAACAACTTAAAATTTTGGGGACAAGGTATTGTATGTCCATTCATTTTGACGACTGGAGAACTTCTCATAATTTCTTAGATCATATATTGTCATATATCATATATCATTTATACGTGCGGTTCATATAAGAGTTTTGCCTCGACCTGCTTATATCCTGTATTTTATTTCATCCTACTACGGCTTTTTCGATTCACTATTACTTTTCTGAAAGCACAACTTTTTGTACTTCAAATACTCTCTGAATTATGAAGTCTTTTCGGAGGATCTACGGAAGAGGTCAAACACAGAGAAAACTTCCTTTCGGTTTTTAACAATTTTGTTCACTAGGGGAGAAAAAACGAGTGTATCCCGTAGCCTTTGTTCCTCTCGTCGAAGAGGTTTTTTTTTTTTTATCTGTGATCTTATTGTGTAGTGATTTAAATTTTAAGANAGTACGTCCAAGAAAATATATGGGTTCAAAAAGTCGCTGTTTTGACAGACTCAAAGGGTGTGGTCTCCAAAGTAGAAAGAATAAAAGCAAACTCGAAATGCGATCACATAACGGCCAGTATTTTAGTGATAACTAATAACTTACTCGCCTGGGGCATAAATGTTACCCTATGCTTGATCAAAGGTCACTCTGGAATAAGGGAAAACGAGAAAGTTGATCGCTTTGCAATGGAAGCGGTCATTGACGGTGAGTGGTGCGACTACGCAATGACCAAAAGTGACTGCCAGCGTATACTGAATCATAGGTGGATTTCGGATTGGCAAGAGTTCCATAATTCTGCTGATGGAGGCTCACTATATAGAAGTAGATTTCTTTGGTGCCGAAAGAACCGTGGTTTCAAGGTGTCAGGGCACCTCGACAATATTTCACCGTAATCTCTAGAATACGAAGCAACCATGGTCTGTGGGGAGGAGTCCCCCAATTGTGTAACACGCGGCTACCCAGAATATTTAATCCATGTAGTAATGGAATGTCCAAGGTTTGATAACGCAAGAGGTAAACTGCTAAAAGAGTATTGATGCCCTAACCGGTCCGGACAGACCTTACTCTCTTGCGACTCTAGTGGCCTCGAGGAACAAGGAAGTGTATGCGCTGCTATTTTGGTTTCTGAAGGTATCTAATCTGAAAATATAACTTTAGATCTACAGGATCAACTTTTGTTATAACTTACCAATAAATGGAGGTGTCGTTGCCGGGGGGGGGGACGTCGGGTCTCGGCGCCTTATTTACCCAGTACTCTCTCCATCAATAAAAACTGCATGTCTAATGCTTTAAAACAAAGTAAAAAAAAATGTGAAGCCTTTTCGGAGGATCTACGGAAGAGGTCAAACTTCCTTTCGGTTTTCGCTGAGCTTTCGAAACGCACTGTGATCGCATGTACCTGAAAAACAAAGAAACGAAGATTTTACTAGTTTTTTAGACTTATATGAGGTAACCTTTCTCGACCACGTTTTTAATTCTTATTGTAATTTTTAATTATTAATTTATTCAATTTAAATAATGTTTAGATGCTGAGCCCCAAAAAACATAATGTACTTCTGTGCCCAAAACACCATGTCGTTTAATTCCCCATTAAGGTTTAAGTAAGATATTCAATTTTTGTGCAATTTTTTTTTCATGTTTTAATTGTTTTTTTGTATGATAATAAAACAGGCCCTGAAGATGACAGTATAAAACTGTCGAAAGCTAGGCGAAAACCGAAAGGAAGTTTTCTCTGTGTTTGACCTCTTCCGTAGATCCTCCGAAAAGACTTCATGTTTCCAGCAGGTCGATAATCTAGTTCATAGTTACTCTCTGAATTATTGACCATGGTTTAAACCATGACCATGTCGCAGATTAAAGTTTTTGCCAGGATTTGATATTAATAATTAAATATGACAATTAATCAACGTATAGTACTTTTTGGTTTTAATGTGTTAAATTGCATAAATATAAATAGGCAAAAATTAAGGGGAGGTGTACTTTAAATTGCTAAAAGTAGTTAAAAAAGCTTTGGAAGTTTAAGAAGCACATAAAGATGAGTCGTCGAGATAAATTGCCATAAATGGCTGATTAAGTGTACGTCTTTACTGCACCCTTTTCCCTTTTCGAAAGCTGTTCTGGAACTGTTTCACATTTTACAACTGGGACAATCTTTCAAAGAACGCCTCGGGATTCAACTACGAAGCCGATAAGAT